ATCTCTGACTGCAGCACTGGGTGACGCGGGTTCGAATCTCAGAAGGGACATGAGTTCCTTCAAGGTTGCAGATACGCCTTGCTGACTGATGAGTGCCACCTAGCACGAAACCTAGGTCCAAGGCTTCCTGCCGATTGCCTCCAACTATCTAATACTCTACACCTTCTTGTATAGTTCGAGTTATCAATTGCAGACTTCATGGATTGATATCAAGGTTTAACTTGAATACATCCAACTTCCTCCAACTGAACTCTATGTCAACTTACACCAATCAACAAAGAAAGCGATTTCTTGTAGGGATTTTGTATTTCACTTTATTGTGTTATAATGATCAAAATATTGATTTTAATGATAATATTTGTTAGGCATTGGTTAATATACGCATTAATTTAAAAGGAGTTTCTAATATGAATTAATGTCAATAAAACGAACTCATTAGAAATCCAATGAAAAACAGAACAGGTCCTGTACTGAATGTCAATATAAAATCTCTTACACTGTCTAGTAAAATAGGCAGCATTTAATACAGTGTAGGTGCTGACGGAATCCCTCAGATTGACGGTAACACTTCTACTAGTAAATGTTGTATTTCTAAGAAAACTTAAAAAAGCATATTTCATTAGAAGCAATGAGATAACTAATCTAGTTTAGCAGTGAAAATGTTGCCTAGAAGAACAATAAAACCTTGGAAATTAAACTATGCATCCAGTTCAGATGACATAACACCACCAACTAGTCTAGTATATACCCGTAATTCCAAGAGTTAATCTGTAGGGGTTTGAATTATTCCAAGTTCCACCACGGAGTGATATCAGATAGAGAACCATCAAAAACCAGGAAGCATTCGACAACTGTTTCGTCCTAGTTTAGGACTCTTTAGCAGCGTAAACTCACTGGTGTTCGAATCCAGGACCTTCCGGTTACAAGGCGAGCTCGTAGACCATTCGGCCATTGGGACCCGACTCAGTGGCCAGCCCATGAATTCCAACTTCTGCCGATTCGTGATATATTATATAGTGGAGCCGCTATTCAGTGTCATAGGCGATTAACTGATCTCTTATCTAACCTGTTCGACCCAGCTTGTTACGACTTCTCACTAGAACTCTAGGTGACTTCCTATATAGAGCCAGACACCGGTGAGCATCAGATTAATTATTGAATGTCAGTTTGAAGGTATTTGATTGGTTACAGGTTTGATCAAGATCTGACATCATTTATATATATATATATATATATATATATATATATATACATATAAGTAATTTAAGTACTTCAGTAGTATATTCGCTAAACAGGAAAGTAAATTTGATAGAATGTTTTCGGTTTCAATAACTTCTACAGGCCTTATAGTTCTAAAATCAATGAGTATTAGGATACAATAGAACAATAAAGGCAAAAATCGAAATTAAATCAGAAACGACAGTACTGTTGTACAAGTATAAGAAGATGGAATAAACTATCCGTTGGTTAGGATTGTCAACTGAATGCATTCATATAAATTTCACAATGATTGAGAACATAAAATAAAGTGTGAATGAGCGGTTAAGTGACACTATGAATGTATTTATAATCAAGATAATAGTGTGAGGAGAACAGGAACATTACAAAACTTAAAACGGACAAATGGCGTACACTGAATGCGAACTCGAAGGATGATAAATAGTAAGTATCATGATAAAATAACGTTTTCAAGAATTAATTTGTAGGGATGCTATCTGTTTCAGGTTGATATCATTTAGAGAACCATTGAAAACCAGCAGGGAATACTGGACAGATGTTTCATCCTAGTTTGAGATTCATCGGAGGTACGCACCCACTGCCAGGTTTCGAACACAGGGCCGTCCGGAGTTACCTGGAGTTCTGGTGAGATGTTGTGAGGATGGATTTTACACCGATGACATTGGTTGGTGGTCGCGTTAAATACATAACGAATTGGTAAAAGTTAGAATTCATGTGGTGGCCATTGAATCGGGTCTCAGTGGCTGAATGGTGTACGAGCTTGCTTGTAACCGGAAATTCCTAGGTTCGAACCCTGACATTGGATGCGTACAGCCATGAGTTTCAAACTAGGATAGATGAAACAGCTGTACAGTACTCCCTGATTTTTAATGGTCCTCTAAGTGATATCAATCCGTGGTCTCACCTGAAATAAAATAAAGTCTTTATATTTTTGTGGCACGGATAAGGATGTCAAAACCAGATTCGGAAGAGCGAGACAGATGGACTTTCATCAATCTGAAATCAGCATAACGAAGAAACTTGGAATTTTCAGTACCAATTTTAAGTCAGTCAGTGCTACTAAATTGGTTAGAAATTTGGCTGAACATCACGGAAAGCATTTCGAACAGGCCGCTGCTCACTTCTGTCAACAGCTGCCCTCTCTGTCCCCATACTGACGATTAGATGACTAGTTAGAAAAAATTAGCGACAAGAAACTCTTGGAACAAACAAATCAAGAGTCTGTTGTTGAACAAATCCATAGGTGAAACTGCAGATGTATCAGATAACACGTTAAGTAGACCGTTAAATGACATAGCGTGTCACGCTCTCATTTGAGTGGAGCTCGAATAGGAAATAACAAGTTGGGTGTTGGTGCGAGGCCGATATGGAGGAGATAGTACATAGAGGAGATGAGGGGATATGGATGACCGTGGAGCCAGCTGAAGATAACCACAGAGAATAGGACAAAGCGGAGGTGTTCTGTTGAAGCCCAATGTTCATCTCGTAACCCAAAAAGAAAGAACAGCAGCAACAACAACGAAATTCTAGCTAACTTGCTAAAGGACTACACATTTTTTCTACATTCAGGCGACAACGAACTCATTTCTTTCCTTTTTCTTATGTTTTGTACTGCAACCTGTTGTTTCAGATATAATTCTCATTTTTGCCTTTACTGTTCTGTTAATAATTCTAATATTGATTGACTTTAAAGTTGTAGAGCCTAAAGAAGCTACTGAGAAAACAAAATGTCTGTCCATTCAAAAAGATGTTTTTTGTTTAGTGAATATACTGTGAGGATATATGAATTACTGAAATCTTGTGAGCAATCTGTTGCACTAATAACACTGAATGAGTACATGGGGTATAGTGCAAAACTAACTGAGGTGAATATCTGTGTGGGAAAATATTTAAAAATAGAAAACAGTTCCAGAGAAGAAACACTTTTCGTCTCAACGAAGTCATAAACTAAGCAGCTGTACATTCATGAAAATATATAACAAAAAGGCTGGGAAAGTTCCACAATTATTTCCGGTCAAAAGTCAAATGATAACGAATAAGTTCAGATAAAAACAAGATAAAGGTGGATCACAATTTTTGATAAAATCGACTTTATGCAATAGCGATGTTTAAAAAAATTCGTTGGGAATGGGGAACACTATCCAGTCTGACTACCGAAGAGAGAATTCAGGTGTGTTTATGACTCAGTAGCAAACCATCTAAGGAACTCAATGGAACCCAGCTCCATTTGAAAAATCTTTCAATGTCCTATCCGGGATTTAATCAAAGCAGTTGAGATCAAGACATCTCGGTACAGCTGATGCATTAGAAATACAAAAACTTAAGGCAACACTATTGACCTAGGCGGTGTGCTTGAAACTTATAAAAATCGAAAACCTCAATCAATATAATTCCACATAATTTTTCTTGTTCAATTTGTTTAAATTTGATGAAATATGACCTCGAGTGAGTATTTAAAGCATTTACAACCTTCTGATTCACAAATTTCTTCTGGGTGGCAACGTATCCCACTACATGAGATAACTGTCCCTAATGTGTGTATCCTTGAATCTCAAAAGATGCTCTTGAACACTTTAAAAAGTGACATTCAACTGAGTGTTGTGCATTTCCCGAAGGAGAAAAAGAAGAGATATCATAATGGATTAGATTGTGCTTCACTATGTCACACAATCTGCTGTCAATTAAATGCTTTATTCAAAGATCCTTGACTAAAAGAAAACATCATGCAATAAACTGTGCTGAAAATTTCGTAAATTATATGAACACTGTTCAGAGTACAGCTATCACTGGTATTATTAGTATTATTCTTATTACTATTGTCTTTATTGCGACCATCATAAATAATCAATTACCCCAAATAATTCTGATTGATTTTTGCTTATTATTACATTTTCAATCCCTGTTTATGGTGAGTCGATGACACAGCGGTAGAATGCACACCAACCACACCTCATGTGGTCTGGGGTTCGATCCGTGGCCGACTCACTCCTTTACCCTGCCAAGCCAGTAATAAGACTGGTAAAGAGGCAAGGTTGGACACAAGGCTAGCAACATCATCTCGTAAAAGTAAACACCACCGCTACCGAAACTTAAAGCCTCTAGCTTGAAGCACCCTATGCTCCATTAGGAAAGTACAGGAATGAAAAAGAGAAATAGACTCCGTGTTTGTATCACATAATTTTCATCTGGATTATTATTATTATTATTAATTTGATTTTTGACCGGAAATAATTCTGCAACTTTCCCACCCACCCCCGTCGTTTGTTTCACGAATGCAGAGCTTCTTAGTTGATAATTTCGTTGAAACGAAAAGTGTTTCTTCTCACGAACTGCCTTTCGAATCATTCCTACGATCTAATATCTATATTTCTCAAAATATTAGTTAACATATACATGTCTTGGTTTTGTGGGGATTTTATTTGACCATTAGGGTACAGCAGTTTGAAGATGAGGCAGTAACTCATCGAAGAATACATTGCGAAGTGGTCACGCTATGTCATAAATTAGCAGAAGTTAGAATCCATGGGCTGGCTATTGGCTTGGGTCCCAGTGGCTTAACGGCGTACGAGCTGGCTCGCCTTTTAACCAGAAAGTCTTGCGTGCTACTGAAGAGTCCCAAACTAGGTTGGTGAAACACTTGTCCAGTACTCTCTGATGGTTTTCCTATGGTTCTCTAACTAACGTCATATCATAATGAAATCCTCCAACTAATATACATGTATGTTGCGTAATTAAACCGAATAAAAACACTCTTGACTTACCATTTTTGTTCCCATGTGTTTACACTAGCCATCACACCACCATCATTTTGATTTTTTTGTTGTTTTATTTTTGTATTTTGTTTAGTGAATTATCCAAGCTGACGTCTTTTTTTATTTATTAATTATTGCTATTTTTTCGGTAAAAAAATACAAAATTTAAACACGATTTATTCTGTATTTCCGCCAATTCTTTGTTTATTAATTAATTAATTTATTTATTAAAGCATTCAAATTTTATTTCCACATATATATGTACTATTTCCTCTCATTTTCCACAAAATTATTCCATTAAAATTATTAATAATCCGTTTTGTTGTAGTAATTTTATAATTATGATGAATAGAGATTTAGTAAAAACCGAAATTGACAAATTATATCTGCTCTTATCCTCATTCGGTTGTTCTACCAGCCTGTTACATCAGCAGGAAATATCATGTAAAGGTTAGTATGGATTTGTATTCGTAATATTCACATGTATACAGTAAAATGTGTGTTTATGTATGTGTGTATGAATTGTTGTATGTGCGTATGTGTGTGGACCAATGCAGCATTATGCATGTTAGTATAGTTGTGTGTCTGTCTTACTCGTGGATAAACACACACACGCACACATGAGCCATTTGACAATTCAAATGTGTTGTGCATTCGTTAGTAATAATATATAATTTCTAATCAAAAAAGAGTTAAAAGTATAAAAAAATTATTCAATTATTAATTGATAATACTTTCATTGTTTTTTTTGTAATTACGGACATGAGAAGATGTCATTTTCCCATGTCTAATCACTTACATATATGAATATTTATGTGTTTATTTAGTTGGTTGAATATGCGTCTATGTGTGTGTGTGTGGATGTGGGGAGGGGATACACACAAACACATATGTACATTTATATAAATTCAGAAATCCGTATACTGTGCTCTGATTGGTCAATTTCATCACTGTTTCAATTAACATAATAATAATAGTTAGAGAAGCGTTGAAAGCCACAAGTAAAGTGCTGGACAACTGTTTCATCCTAGTTTGGGAATCTTCGGCAGTACGCACCCACTGCCAGGGTTCGAACACAGGACCTTCCGGGCACAAGGTAAGTGTGAGAATGGATTTCCAATCGATGACATTGATTGGTGCTCGCGGTATATCACGGATTGGTAGGAGTTAGAATTCATGGACTGGCCACTGAATCCGGTCCCAATGAGTGAATGATATGCGAACTAGGTTGCCTTGTAACCGGAAGGTTTTAGGTTTGGACCCTGGCAGTGGGTGCGTACTGCCTATGATTCCCAAACTATTATGAAACAGCTGTCCAATACTCTCTGGTTTTCAATGGTTCTCTAACTGATATCAATCCATGATCAAGCTCGTTAAAACAAATGTAATCCTTACAAACCGAACATTTGAAAAATCATAATAATAACAATAATAGACGCCTGTTAAATTCTCACTGATATATCGGCTTTATCTTTGAATGTTGGCTTGCAAAGATTTGATTGATTACAAGTGTGATAAAAGATTGATCTCACGTAGAGGACCATTAAAAAGCAGCAAGGAGTACTGAACAGCTGTTTCGTCTTGGTTTCAAACTCGTCAGTAGTACGCACCAGTTAACCTGCAAGGGGAGCCACTAAGATTGAATTCAGTGGCCTGGCTATCGATTCTAACTTCTAGCAATTCTGTATATATAGAGAGAGACTGCTAACCGACATCATCGGCAGACATCTGTTGACACAAACAATCTGATTGACCTCAGTGATCACGAAGTCACCGAAGTCATATCTTGATCGTACTTGTGCCTTTAGTGGTTGATGGTATCGACGTTCGCGAGTTGTACGGATTATACTAACGCAAGATCTTATACCAACAACTTCTATAGTGTTCGTTCTTCAAGTACCAAAGATAAAGCAAAAGACCAGATTTTGTCGTCCAAATACGATATATATTTCGGGACCAAATCGCGGGTAGAAATGAACGCTTAGCTAGCTAGTAATCGTGCACGCACGTGACACGACGGAGTACCAAATGGCGGGGATGCTTGACCGGAAGCCTTCAGCTAAACAAGTCGACTTAAACAGTGATGGTCAGCATCCAATGTTGAATGATGATTGCTGTGGTTAATGATTTTGGGGAATTATTTACCGCTACATGCCTAATCAAATCTCTGTAAACCGGTAAACTTGGGAATTAATTTAGCAATCACTAGTGATTTATTGAAAAAAAAATGAAGTTGCTTAAAGTTTTAGTGAGAAGTCGTAAACAGTTGGGTTCACCAAGTCAGGTAAGAGGTCACTTGGCGGTCTATGGGATTCTCTGATGGTTTCCCTCTATATATCACGAATTGGCAGAAGTTGGAACACATAAACTATTGCATTGGGACTCAATGGCTGAATGTCTCTGAACTCGCCTTATAAACATAAGGTCCTGGGTTTGAATGGTGATTGGCTCAAACTAATGACGAATCCCAGTACTCCAATGTTGGTTTCCATTGGTTCAATGACTGATGTCAACTCGGAAGCCACCAACATATTCTCACCTTATGTCACCTTAGTCGTCGATCAAATGGCGTGTGTACTGCTCAGAAGTTTGCTTTGTCCTTCTTTATGGTTGTGCATCGGTGGCACAGTGGTAGAATGCTCACCGATCACGCGTGTGGTCCGGGGTTCGATTTCCGGCCACAAACGCACTCCTTTACCTCGCTAAGCCAGTAATAAGACTGGTAAAGAAGGAAGGTTGGATATGAGGCTAGCAAAGCAATCCTGCGAAAATTAATACCATTGATACCGAAAATTCAAGCCTCTAGCTTGAAGCCGACCTATGTTCCACTGAAAATGTGAAGGAATAAAAATAATGGTTGTGAGACACGATCACGGAAAAATAGAACCTCAAAAAAGCTAGCTGTCTCTAACCATAGGTGTCTGAATCATATCTCTCGTCTTAAGTGGTATAGTAAGTCAATATTACTCGTGATCCAATACTGCTATTATTTTGACTCCTGGTACGAACGCTTTGACGATATACTATTTGTTTCACGATGGTTAGTAATGGGATCCAGAAAGTACCAAATATCCTAAGGAAATAATAACTGACACTCGTTGCACAGAAGATGGCTCTAGTGACTCACTGGCTTAGTGAACAACGCTTTGGTATTTTTCGAAAAGACGGATGCTTAGTTCGACCAGATGTTGTAGAATAGAGCTTCGTTGGAAAGTGTCTCTTCGCTGAATATTGTGTTCTTAAATTACACCAATTTTACAATCGATGAAACGTGAAAATTACAAATACATTTCATTGACAAGTTGTACAATTTTCATTAGGATCCAACAATCATAGAATTTTCATCAAACACATGGGAACTTTAGGTTCGAGATCCAACCGAAGCACCACTAAGGTCTTCACCCAGGTGATAAGCGAAGAAAAAAGGAGATATTTAAAATGAAGAAAGGAACCTCACTGTATGAATACTGTAAACTAAAAACTTGAGGTCACACACGTTTCCCTTAGAACGCAAGGAATGAGACAAAAATGAAATGAATACAACCGAATCTCATTTGTCACGTTATTTTGGAATACGTTGGGTCAGACATACAGAGAGAGTTACAATTTGTCAAAACAAAAAAGGGTATTAATCCATGAATTCTCTGCTTGTTGATTTCAATCAGGTAAGCAGATGTAGACTATCTGGTTAGGACCTTGGAATACTAAGAACCATTGACTGAAGACTATTGGTTAAATGTTATATATGTTCAAACCAAGTTCACTTTTAACAGTTTGAAAACATTTGGGCATTGGGTATATGTTATTCATTATAATAATAAAGGTTTTTGTATCTCCCAATGAATGAAAAACAAAACGATACTGTTTTTACTGACGTTTCGCTATTTAATGCTAATAGCTTTACCAAAGTTTTTCTGGATTATATCAACATTAAAAGTCAATCTGAACGAAGAATATTCTTTTCAATAATTTGTCTTCAGGTTCTTACAATTATAAAATATAATATTGACTTTTAATTCATAATATGGGAATATTCCACAGTATGTCAATATTGTCAAACATCTCAAGAAATCAAAATCAGAAGAAATGAACACCGTAGAGCATCCATTCGACCACCGAGAAATCCAACTGAACTAGAAAAACTTGAAAAATCATCAGCCATGCTATAGAATCAGGTCACAAAATTGATTTTGACAATATTGAAATAATCCAGAAAAGCTTCAGAAATCACAAAGAACGTCTAATATCAGAAGCACTTCATATCAAGTGGAATTAAAATTGCCTGAACAGGAATGAATGACTAAAACAGAATCTGACCTGGTTACAACACTTCCGTCCCCCATGAAGTGACAAAATCAACACGAATGTGATATGCAAATTCACTCTGTAAACACACACTACTTTTATAATCTTACACACTTATCAAGTCCAACAATCTACACTTGGTTTTGTTAGCTTTACCAGTTGGCCAACTTGACAACGAAAAATGGCCCCAGACTGCCGAACGATGATCAAGTTAGTAAACTTTATTTTGATATCATAACAGACGTACTATTACCTTTGTTATTTGGTTTAGTGATGTTCATTGTTATTTTTACTTTAAATATGTCCTTTTAACTTGACCTAAGTCTATTTTCTCCCCCCTAACTGTTTGTTATATATATGCTGAGATTTTGTAAATTCCGGTTTAATAATACTTTGATAAAGCTATTAGCATTAAATAGAGAAACGTCAGTAAAAAAAATATCGTTTTGTTTTTCATTCATTGGGAAATACAAAAACCTTTATTATCATGAATATTGGTTAAATGGCTCAAATTCGGTCTCAATGAATCAGATGAATTTTACTCCTGATAATCTCTGTCGCGTTTTCATTTTCATGTTACTACTCTTTCTTCAACATACTTTTGTACGTTTTATTTTGAGTTTCTCTATTTTATCTACTTTGCATGATATATATGGAATGTGATAACTTACGTGCAAAGTTACATGTTACAGCTCACTTAGTCAGTTGTACAACATGGAGAAATTATTGTTACTAAAACTTTTTCCCTTCCTAAGATCCTCA